GAGCAGACTTGCCCTGCCATTCACTGGCCCACATTGAGTGGAGAGAGAAAAGTACTACTCTTGTGGGAACAGTGAGCGAGTTGAGCCCTATTTCCCCAAATTTATCCATCAGCTAAATCTTCCCACCTCTTACCCAAACCCAGAGGAGTGAGCAAAAGTGTAGAAGGGGAACAGCAGGTGAGACAGGAGAGATCTGCTACACCATGTGGATCATCTCCCTGGCCCAGGATCAAACTCAGGCCATAGCGATGATTGTGCTGAGACTTAACCCCTAGGCCACAAGGGAGGCCCTCTTGCTTCCCCTCTAAATAGTAAGCTTCATGAAGGCAGGCATTGTGGTCTCTAATTGGTGTCTGGCACATAGCAGGAGCTAAAGATATGTTTATTGAGTGGGTGAATGGTCTTGTGAACTTGGAGTCAGTCTCAGCTCTTCTACTGATTAGTGTCATTCATTTTTTGGGAAGTTGCACCATCAACATGAGCCTCATGGAATAGGTGCTTGAGCTCATTTCAAGAGTGGTGGTAAAAATCAAATAAGATAATGTATAGAGAGGGCCTCCCCGGTGGCGCAGCGGTTGAGCGCTGGGTTGCGAAGCTGCCCGCGGCCTCTGCGGTGCCGGTTCGATCCCTGGCTGCTCCCCGGCCACTGGAGGAGGGTCCCACATGGTGTGCAGGCCTCTCCTGCCGCCCGCTGCTCCCCTCAGCAGTGTCCTTCGGTCCTTCTGCCTGCTCTGCTCCCCGCTCTGGCTCTGGTGAATTCTCTCACCCTCCCGTGCTTCTGACTGTACCCAGTGCATGTATAAACAAAAACAAACAAACAAACCAGCAAACAAATAAATAAAAAAAGCATGCCTCTATAAAAAAAAAAAAAAAAAAAAAAAAAAAGATAATGTATAGAGAAAGCTGAGAAAAGTACTAGAGTAATAAAAGGGAGTAGGGGCCTCTCTGGTGGTGCAAGGGGTTAAGATGCAACCTATGAAGCTGTCTGCAGCCTCTCCAACTTGAGTTTGATTCCCCAGCAGGCCAGGGAGCAGTTGCCCACATGGCACAGCAGACCTCTCCTGACTTGCCCGCTGCTCCCCTCAGCAGTGTACTTCGGTCAGTTTGCCTGTTCTGTTCCCCACTCTGTCTCTGATGAATCCTCTCACCACCCCACCCCCATACCTCTGGCCTAAACCCCAGCTCTTATATGCATAAATAAATAAATATTTAAAAAAAAAAACTAAAAGGGAGTAGCACATGGAATTTCTTTCAGTAATACCAATAACTCTTTTGGAACCAGGGAGGAATTTCATGTCACCCCAAGGAGTGATTGTTAAGGTGGCCACACTATAGAATCTCAAAATCTCATAAAAAATGTTCTCATCCACTTTGCCTGATCTTACCCTTGTTACAATGTGTATCCTAACTTTTTATTTAAAAAATTTAGTCATAGAGGGTAGCAAAAAGAAAGCTGATCTTAAAAAGAATAGGGCTACATTTACTTCAGCAAAAACAATAATTTCTCTGTGGAAGACACAGCTGTAGTGATGAGATGTTAGTCTTAAAGAACTAATAACTTTACCAACTCCCAGGAATTATTTCCCAAACGAAAGGAAGTACACCAGAAATTCATTATGAGGCAATCTCTGAGCAGATGATTTTTCACTTCTTTGAAGATAAATATGCCCTTAAATCACTTGCAATTTCAGCACACTTATGCATCGTATCCAGACTACTAACAAATACTCATCAGTCTGCCTTCAAAATGTAGCTCACCACTTCTCTCTATCCCTACTGTTACCCCCAGGCCTCAGTTTCTGCTCTCTCTCCTGGATAATTCCATCTACTTCCTAATTGATATCCTGGTTCTATCCTATTCTCCTCATGTCTGCTTGCTAAATTACAGTCATTTCATATTCCCCATTTCTGATCAAACCATATTATTCCCTTACATAAAAGTCTCCAATGGTTTCCAGATGCAAATAGATTAAGATGCAAATACATATGAATACAGCTAAGACTCAACCATGTTGGTCCCTCTACCCTCCAAAGTCTTCATGTGCCTCTTCTTCCTTCCTTCACTGTGCACTAATCACTATCAACAAACAAAGCCAGTTTGTACCTCAGGCCCTTTGCACTGCTTCCTCAAGGCTGACTCCACCCAGGGATGTATTTCCTGGTCACCATTAGCCCAAATACTTTTCTGAGGGCATATGGAGGAGGATGGGCCTAAGACATAGATGTTCTTCCAACATATTTTGTTGAATGAATAAAAACCACAGTGTGTATTCCATGATATTTTTAGATCTTGCACAAAGATAAAAAAGCCTTTCCTGATCAAATATTGTTAGTTTGGGAAATATTGGGCAAAAGTTTTAACAGGTTTATTTATAGATGAGCTTCTCAGCAACATAATTTTGTGGGGATATAGTATGTGAGACTTCCTAACTTACTCGAATAGGTAGGAAAGGCCCTGGCCCACAAAGCACATTCTAGGAGGTGCTGGTATTGGAATTAGAGCATGGTCTGTGGAGATTGCCTAGGACTGCCCTCAAATCCTTGCTTTATCACTTACTAGCCATGTGAACCTAGAGGATCAATTTTTCATTTTTAAAAAATTGTATAATAATAGTATCTTCCTGACAAAGTAAGAAATGAAACTATAAAGCATTTAGCACAGTTCCTTGTACATAGGGAGCTTACAATTATTGGCAGATGTAACTATTACTGGCATTATTATCATTATGATGCCTTTGATCATAGAAATGTTCCTTCTATTTTTGGGACATGTACTTTTTACTGCGCACTCAAAGTTTCCTTCTTGTTGGAGTGAGATTTCAAGGTACAACTCCCCACCATAGTGTTACATGATATTTTCTGCTTTTGCTGATTCTTTTCTTTCTCTACCTATATCACGTGACTCCAGCTTGTCTCCGTTTTCTGTAGTCCAAGGATATGGTGGCAGAGATAGGGAAAACTAATTCATTAGCAAGATTAGACACTACCATCTGATGCCAGGGGGCAGCCTGTAAAATGGAGATAGGCATGTAAGTCTCAGTGCCACTTTAGCAAAAGGTTGCCCTTTACCTTGTGTGTTATGTACTATATCCTCTTTGGGAAAAGAGCCCTTCAAATATCAATTTTAGAAATTAAAATGATATCTTAAGAAAGATGAATAGGGAATCCCTCAAAATAAAAGTGGTTTTTTTTTTTTCTTTCTTTACCATTTGTTTGCATGGAAATCCTTTAACAAAATAGCTAGATTTTTAATTTTGGGTGGTATTCAGTGTTGTACAATAGTCTTTAATTACAGTATACAAGTGCTTTGGCTATGCTTGAATAATCTTTAGAGGTGACTAAATCCTTTTCAAATAGAGGAACCACTCTCTTGTACCTTTCTTTTATTACAGATTTCATGGAATTGTCTGTTACTACTTGGCCTGATTTTATTTGGGGGGATGTTTTATGTTGGGAGCTGTTAAAGTCAGTTAAATATGTAACGGGAATTCAAGTAGCTATTTTAATTACGGTGTTAACATTTCTTATATGAATAGTTTTTAGCCTTGTATTGGAATAATTTATAATATAAAACAGAGAGGTAGGAAAGAAAGCAGAGAACATAGAAAAGATGAAAGGTTGTTTTTCACTCTTATTCTGAAGTTTTGGTTTTGATTCTTTTTTTCATTGATGGAACATATGTGTTCCAATGGTTTTCATGTTCCTTTTCCCGAGGACTTGCTTATCTGGGCATGTTACTGGTTACTTTAACACATGGATGACATCTTGGCAAGATTTTCTCTTTTTCTCTCTTTCACTGATAAATTAAATAGGAATTGGAGTGTGAATTGATGAAGATTATTTCCAGTTCATGTTTCAAATAAGAAACATGAGACAAACATGTGCAGGTAACTGTTAAACAGTCAGCTCGCTAGCTAGGGGAAAAGAACCCTGGTGTAGTATTTCCCCATTTCTATGGTGTAAATATTCCCACCATAAGTGATCCAAAGCTGTCAGCAAGATGTTATTGAACACAGTTTTGGAAAATATGTAGAGTAACAAATCACTATATAATCTGTTCACCAGACTAGCAAAGTCCAGAGTATACATAATAGTAAAATGTAATAAAATAATTAGAAGTGATGAGTTTGAGTATTTACTTCTGTTTCTTCATATAAACTTATTTAATGGCAAATTTTTATAGTTTAATTTTTAACAGTGGCTGTGTTGAACAACTGACTCTCAAAATTCCTGCCCACTGGGACCAGGAGATCTTTCTCTGTTACCCTAGGTCCACTGACTGAGCTGAGGCAGAATCTGCATTTGCATGAACTATTCCTAACAACCAAATTCTCTAGAAAGATTTACTTATTAATATTTCCTTTTGTTTATTATTATTTATTTTATTGTGTCCTCACATGATCTTTGAAAGGGGTTTAGGACTATTAAAGGCTGTTATTTCCTACTGTGATAGTAAGAGTCAGAATATTCAAATAAAACTATAACCAAAGATAGGAGGGTGGAAAACAGATTCAATTTAGAGCCATAAATAAATTCTGGCTTTGAGTCTTGGCTCTACTGCCCATTCACCATTGGTACAATAAAGTTAGTCACTTCTTTGTGTGCTCGATTTTCTAGTTTGTAAGAGCCAGAAATTGGGCCACAGGCATAGCTAATACCTAGAATAGGTCTACAATATCATGATTCATTATTTAGATGTATTAGTTCAACAAAAATTTAGTTAGTACCAATTATGTGCACATTTGTTATATACTCTACTCGAGGAAGAATGAAAACAAATATAATGATAATTGTTATTAAGCAACACCTCACATTTTTGTAGAGCCTTCTAATATACCAGCAAAAATTTACATTGAGTCTCTGAGGTTCTATGGCTTTAGGAGACCAGGACCGATCTTCATAGAATGTTAGAGAAAGAACAACCTATTCTGAGAGAACAAACAGAATCCTTATTCCTAGGAAACGCAAGAGGTCATAACCAGGTAGTAATAAGGAATAAGGAACAAGCATTTTTTTGCCATGTCTATCAGCTGCTTCAGTTTGTTTTTTAAAAAAAACAAAATCCAAACTGTTTTTTTCTGATTATAAGATTGATCATTGTAGAATATGTAGAAATTCTTAAGGATGAAATAAGGAGAAAATGTCTTATATTCATTTTACTAGACTGCTTTGCTTTACCTAACATTTCAGTATATTTTCTAAAATATTTTTAGCAGAGTCATTTTAATTGCTGTGTATAATTCCATCTTTTTGGTGTCAGTAACTTATTTATCTTAAATTGTTTAAATTGTTGAAAGTTTTAATTATTCCAAAAAAGCACTGTGATAAGTAGTTATGTTTATATAAAGAAATTGTACGTTGTTTTCAGTGCTAATATTTAAGGTTTAGTAAGATAATTTTAGCAAATCATGTATTTTTGACCTGTAGGTTATTTGATTCTGCCAATATTGCTTTGTATTTGCCTAGATTTTATTATGTTTCTAAGCATTTATTATGAGGAACAGTTTGCCTGGATACTTCAATATGATATATTTGAACTGAAAATAGCATTGAATAGTTTCATATTATTTCAAGTGTGATAAAGAGTATGGTTAATAACTTTTTTCATTTTCTATAGGCAATAACTTCTTGTTGATTAGTTAATAAATGTTCAATAAATAAAAAGATTTGGGCTAATTTTGGATGAGCAAAAACATCTGAGAGGATGTTAAGAAAAAGAAACACTTTTTGATTCATGTTAATAGCTTTCATTTTCATTAGGAGGGAAGACAGCTGAGCACAGCTGAGGAATTCTGACTGTTAAATGAAAACTGTGAATTAAGGATGTTGTTGCTGTAATTCACCTACATGAGAAACTGTGACTCTCATAGTTATTTGATTAAATGTTAATGAGATCTACTAAATTGACCCAACTCTTACTTTTATGTATTAGATTTATGTCAATTAATGTAAGACCACTTTTACCTCTTTCTTTAACATCTTAGAGTCAACATCTGCTTACAAGGGAAGTGCTGTAACTACTCTGGTTATTTAAATATTAATGACTTCCATTAAAAGAGGCTGGAGGTTTGCAGCAAGAAGATTGAGAAATTAGAAGGCATGATTACTTTCTTGTTTCTGCCCCCAGGAAAGAACCTCTTACTGGAAGAGCTTCTAGTAGTTTTTTTATGCCACAGATTTCCCTCCCCACCCCCAAACCAGAGAGTAAGTTGTTGATTCCACACATTCCTTGAAAGTGGCAATGTTATTAAAACACCAGTAATAACAAGTTCACATAATTTTAAAAAAACGTTTTTTCAGTGTCATAGTGCTCTTTACTCTTGGGCTTCTTTGAAACTTAATTTCAGTTTCAGTATTTTCCCCCCTTATTATAGTCGATAAGAGGCAAAAGCAGTATTTAGTTATATGCTGATTTGGGTTGGACATATTTACATTGTAGAGGATATTGTATTAAATAAATCATGACAGCCTTGACAAAGATTATAGATGCAGACAAACTATAGTTATAAACTTTGATCTTGTTGGGGAAAAGTGGCTGAAGAATTTTTAAAATTTGCCTGACCAATATTTTCATATGTCAAATTGGGTTGTGATAAATATGTGCTTAATAGATTTTTACACATTTTGTGTTTTTAAGAAGTTTTAGTGGTTTGGCATTTTAAATCACTGAACAGTCAAAAGTAGGCATTAAGTTTTCATAGTTATGTATGTCTTTTGCATCTAGAAATCTGAGTTAAAGAAGCATTTACTTAGAGCTAAAAACCTGGACCCTGTGCAAACAGCCAGATAATGTAACAGCAGTGATGGAGGCATAGCACTTACCAGGGTCAGGATGAAGGTGAAACAAGTGAGGCATTTGCTGCAGGTATAAAACTTAAGAGTGCCAAATGACTCAATTACTGGATAAATAGTATTTTCATGGCATAAATGAAAAAAAGTCATCATGAATGTGAAAAACCCATGGTGAACAAAATGTCAAAATTTTAGAAAAACATAAGATCTGACTTTGCATCTGTCACTGCCTCACTTTACCTTAGTCCTGACCCTGACTGACTTTGGATAAGATATTCCTTTGAGCCAAGTTTTTCTTGTCTAAGTTGGTCAGAATGATCCTCAAATTCATGGTTATTTGAATATTCAAATTAGCTGAAAATATATGGGAAAGTCCATCATGAATACAATTTAGATTTAGTTAAATCCCCATACAGTCTTAATTCATTATTACTATTAGTCCACATGAACATTCTAAGCATGTAACAAATTTGAAAATTCTTGGTGATTTTTATGCTAGTAAAGTTTTGATGCCTAATTCTTAAAGTTTATTTATCAGCTAGCTCTAGGGGTAAGAATCTAAAGATAGTTGTAGGACCCTCCCTTTCTTCCTTTACTTTTTTTCCTCATCACTTTTTTTGAAACTATTTTTTTCTTGCAGTAACATTGGCTTATAATGTTATAAACTTTAGATGTATAGCTTTATAATTTGGCATCTGTATATATTACATTGTGATCACAATTTAAACTCTAGATGCCATCTATCACCATTCTTCTCTCTTTTTTGCTAAGTTTGGTGATTTGTAGGAGATAGAAGTGGTTGCTAGAAATTCATGTTGCCTTTTTTAAATCCTCCTGCAAAATGCCCAGGGAGACAACTAAATTCCCCCTTTTGTTCAAGCTGGTCCCCCACCAGTGACCGCTCCATACTTCCCCTGCCTACCTGAGTTCCCGCACCTTTCCTCCGCATCCCACCTGGACAAGACCTTCCAGATTCTCTCAGCCTGATAAGTGTTTTAAATCCTTTGCTCTCTGACAATGGAATAACTGCTTTTACCACTCGTTTGGTGACCAATTAGAATCCTGTTGTCTTGAGGGTTTAGCTCATCTGCATGGAATTTACTTTCCAGACCAGAGTTACAGAAATTCATGTTGTTTCTCCAGTTATACTGTAAATCTCTTGAAGAGCTCCACACTAGACCATTAACTTCAGGGTCAACAGGGATTAGCTGCTCTTATTCAGGTGGCATCCAAGAAGCTTAGCAAAGGGCTTTTACAAACTCTATGTGTGTGTGTGTATATAATAAATATCTTACATGTATAAGGATTAGATAAATATTTATTCACTTACTCCTTGGATTCATTTGTGGAATGTTATTCTTGTCATCCTAGGCCTAGAGCGGACCATTGGTGCCATGTGGAACGTGATTGTTTTGCTGATCCTGTTCACACTAAGCCCGGGTTGCGATGGGCTGTTTCGCTCCATATACAAAAATGTCAAGGTTTCTGCACCAGTTGAGGGAGATGCAGGACAGCCATTATTTCTTACTCCTTATATTGAAGCTGGAAAATTCACAGAAGGTAAGTTTGATTAAATCAGAAAACCCCTAACATGCTTTCAACAGTTTTGTTTCGTTTTTTTTTTCCAATTATCCCTTAGGATCCAAAATACTTTCTGGTATTTTACTAAATTGTTTTATTTTAAATTCATATGATTAGATGTCACATATTATCAGAGTTTTGAGCCAAAATGAGAGTTCATGAGGACCAGGAAATCAATGTGTATGAATTCCTGAATTTCTCTTTATAAAGCCAGTATCGTGCTTGCTCACAACCACTTGCTACATGCCAGTTACTGGTTCCAAGTATTCTACATGCACTCACTTTAAGCATCTCAACAATCCAGAGAGGTTTACTTAGTTTAAACACAAGAAAACTAAAATAGAAAGATGAAGTTACTTGTCAGAATTATACAGACACCAGCTAGTAGATAATGGATTCATATCCAGGCAGCCTTACTCTAGGCACCAAATATCCTAGGCCTCAGTTTCCCCATGGAAAAGATGGAGTTATAATAACCTATCCAAGTCACACGAATGTTACGCAAATCAGATGAGAAAATGCACATGAAGATGCTATATGAGCTGCAAATTGTTTTCTTAATGTTAGTGTTTGAAAATGTCTTTTAGTTAGAGATTGTGGGATTTTTCTATTATTATTAATAATAATAAAAGGTCATTTGATGTTATCAGAGATTAACATTTATGACCTGCCTTTGCTCTTAATGCTTCTTCATGCTTAGGTAAAAGATAAATTAATCTTCCTGGGCCTCAGCTGGACTCTGAACTATGAAATAGTATGTATAGGTAGCTATTCTGAGGAGCTGTTAGTAAAGGGAAGCTGAGAAATGAGGTGGTGGCTGGAGGGAGCTATGAGGTCAGGAGGGATCTTTAAACTTTTTAATTTTCTTATAGTCTTGTTCATTTCTGTACGATATTTGATTTCTCTGCTCAGGTGTAGTCCTGTAAATCACCAACCACGATAGCACCTGTGAAACATAACTATATTCCCTGTGCTCTTCCCTCTCCTGTTTTGACCCGTCTTCTTCCCCCTCCCTTGCTGTATGCCTCGCATCTATGGTTTGCTGAAAGTTATATCTTTCTTTTTGATTATTTGTTCAGTTTCCCTGTGTTCCTCCTATAAGTGAAACCATCTGATATTTTTATTTTTCCTTCTGACTTATTTCACTGAGCATAATCCCTGCTAGCTCTATCCATGTTGCTGCGAATGGCAGGAGTTGGAGTTTATCTATTTTGATTGTGGAATAGTATTCCATTGTGTAATATATACCACATCTTCTTGATCCATTCATCTCTTTTTGGGCATTTGGGTTGTTTCCATATCTCAGCTATTATAAACAGTGCTGCAGTTAACATAGGAGTGCAGGTTTCTTTTCAAATTATTATTTTTGTGTCCTTAAGGTAGATTCCCAGGAGTGGACTTGCTGAGTAGAAACCAAAGTTTTTGACTTGTCTGTAATCTGCCTGCTAAAGTTTGTTTCCTTTGGTGTAAGAAGATTGTGCTCTTCAGGAATGACTAAATCACATACATAAAACAATTAAAGAATAATACTGTGTGTGATAAAGTGCCAAAGTATTACATTTGAGGTAGCCATGTTGCAATTTTTAGAAAGAAACTATCTCTGTTGGTTGACATAATCCAGGGGAAGAATAGTAATAGCAATATTGAAAATAATAAATAGCTATCATTAGTAATTATATGCCCTGTACCTAGCACAGGGGATAATACCTAGCACAGTCCCTGTATGTAATAGGCACTCAATAAATATTTGTAGAACTTAAATTTGAGACTTAAGTATGTACAGGCATTGTGCTGTACACAAACATTAGCTCATTTAATCCCCAGAGCAACTCTAATGAAGCAGGAATAATTATTGATTCCCATTTACAGATGGGAAAAACTGAGGCTTACAGATCTTAAGTATCTTGCTGAGAGCTGTTTAGAGCTAGTAAGTGGAAGAGCTGGAATCAAAATTTCTTTCTGCTGACTCCAGAGCCCCAAGTCTAAACCACTGTGCTATGTGACCAGGGCCAGGCTTGAGGAAGTTAAGTAATATTTAGGTAAATACAAAATGGCCTGTGTGCACACTGAGCAAGAAAACCAACTCAAACAAGACACTAAGTAAAAGTAACCAGGGCATATGTGTCTGTATTACATATCTGATGGGGCCAAGTAAAAAGATATAGGAAGATCCACTGGAGAGATTGTCCATGGACCTCCCATTCCTGTATTTCTTGCCTACAAGCATCTCATTACCATGATTGTCAACAGTAGCAAAGAAAGATTGAGAGGCAGGTAGTTTTATCTCCTGTCCTTTTGTGCCAAGCCTGATAGATCACTATCTGATGAGTGACAGCATTTAAAATATTACAGCTGATGTAATGTCACTTTCTAAAGTTCTCTTACACAGGCAAAGTCTTTGAACAGAATTTTAAGTGGCTTATCCAGAATCTGGTACATCTGGGTATTCAAATGCAATCCTGACAACATAATTAAGAACAATTTTATTCATCCGCTTTACTGAAAGTTCAGGAAGCTCTGGACAGATGGTCATCTCCCTCCCCTAAATCCCTTTTGTTTATCAAGTCTGTCAAAAGCTTAGGAATGTGAGTCTCAATATTGCAATGGAACATTTTTGAGATAAACAATAATTCACAAAAAAGACAAGGGAAATTTTTGTTTTTTAATCCTCAATTAGTTGGTTTAGTTTTGTGTAATTGTAATTGCATGTTTACTTTCTCTGCAGCTAGAATAAATTTTTACTCTGAAACAGATATTGAATATAGAAGGCAAATGTTAGCATGTTTATAAATGTGGCATTTTCACAAACTTTAAATATTTTGTTGTTAGGCCTTAATTTATTTTTGCTTAGGATCTGGGGGAGCCTTTTCCATACTGATAATACCCATGTCTTTGCAGATCTGAAGTGCACCCTAATGAGCTAGTTCCAGCCTTTTGGTCATCCTCCAATCTTTTGAAAGTGTTAATATCACAAGCACTGGTAGCAGTAAATAACAAGGAGGAAGTGAAATCACTTCAAAGAACCCTTTTCCTTTTTTTAACTGTTTCAAACATTTGCACTGTGAGTCATAGTTACAGGAGGAAAGAAACTCCTACATCTTGGGAGTTTATTTTCCACATTCCATGAATAGATTCTGGAAGGATGAACAGAACATTTGAAAATACAAAAAATCATTCTAGTTGAAAAACCTTTTAATTATTTTACTGTGATTTAGCTGAAGGAAATTAAAAATTTGCAACAGGGTAGAACACTTTTCTGTGGTCCAGAGATACGATTTTAAAGTTTCTTAAGATGTAATAAGGCCTGTCTTCCTTAGAAGGTCTTTGTAGAAATAAGCTAATAGTAGTGCATTAATAGGGTGTCCTATTTCAGTGCATTCATTCATTCATCCACTCATTAACATTGATTCATTAACAAGAATCTGTGGAAATGCCTTACCTGTATAAATCAGAGTGCTTTGTTCACCCAAGTACAGATAAGTGATGCAAATTCCTGCTTTTCAGTAGCCCCTGATCTAGAAAGGAAGATAGAATATGTACCCAAATAAATACAAGGTAACAGAACAGCTCAGACCTTTAAGAAGGGAGGCTAGCAGATCTTGTGCTGTACTGGCCTTGGAGAAATAGAGTTATCAAATCATTCCTCTCCCATATTCTATTCCTTCCAGCTTCTTTATGTTTCTTTTTCTCATTCTACTTTGATTGTTCTCATTGTTCTCTGTCTTATTTCTTGAATGCTTTCCCACCCCTCAGCCTTCTGTGATTCATACTCAGCTCTGACCCCTCAGTTTTCACTTATCTTCACTAGCTTCAAACCCTTATTTTAGCGGACGGTGGAATCTTTGATTTTAAGGAGATTTGCAAAACAAATTCCAGAAGTATTAATTTTTTTAAAAATATCTTTTTAAAAAAATATTTATTTATGCATACAAGAGCTGGGGTGCAGGCCAGAGATGCGAGGGTGGGGGTGAGAGGATTCACCAGAGACAGAGTGGGGAACAGAACAGGCAGAATGACCAAGTACACTGCTGAGGAGAGCAGCGGGTGAGTCAGGAGAGGTCTGCTGGGCCATGTGGGTAGCTCCCTGGCCGGGGATCGAACTCGTGCTGCAGAGGCTGCAGATTGCTTCATAGTGTGATGCTTAACCCCTTGCGCCACCAGGGAGTTCCCTCCAGAAGTATTTTAAAGGCTGCCCAGCCCTGAAGAGTGATCCTTCTTTGGGCTAATTCA